CTCCCCCCCCCCGGCGGGAGCGGGGCCGGGGCCCTGCCCCTCGGCCGGCCTCTGCCCGGTCCGGCCCAGGACAGCGGTGGTTCCCCCCCCACCGTCTTTTGTTTTTTTCCCCCCGGCGATGAGCGTCAAGAGCCCGCGCACACAATGAAGTTGAAATCTTTATTGCGTTAATACAAAGGACACCGAGAAGGGAGGGGAAGAGAACTGGTCTGGGAACCCAGGAGCGCTGCAAGTCGCTGAGCAGCGCTCATGAGCTGGCATTAGCTTAGGCAGCTTTCCGAGGAGTACAGCAAACGAACCGTCCATGCTTGCTCCACCCAGTAGTGCCCCGAGCAGTTTCCCAGTTAAGTCATCTCTAAGTGGAAGATTAAAAGTTACACCTACAGCTGCAGCAACAGGTAGTCTCATCAGCAAGCAAGCCCCTGGCTCAGGTCAGGGTAGGGGGCCGCTCAGCTTTGAGATCTTCTGTGCTGCAGCATGCATCCGCGACATTGTGCGGCTTGTGATCGGCGTCACAGAAGTTACCCCAAGCCGTCCAGTGAAGCACACAGCAGCTGAACACATGCAAGTTTAAGAGAGGAGTTCACTTAGATTTGGAGCTAGGGCAGCAGCATCACAGGGCTTGATGCTGAAACACAGATACAGGCTCAGGGTCACTCAGCTGAGTCTCACAGGTGGAAGACATATGGATCAGAGTAGGGCACCTCTTGAAGGCACCAGGCCAAGCCAGAGGAATTACTACAGAGGAGGTCTCCAGTAATGGGGTATCCGGTTTTGAACATCCCAGCAACCTTAGCTCTTCAGCACTTATGTCAAGGGACAGATTGGTATCCAGGGGGGCTTTTATTTCAGAAATCTCCCATCTGGGTGCTGGTGGCTTCTCAAGGGTTGAGATGTCTGTTACAAGCTCAGTGCTCCTGGATAGCAGATTCTCCAGTGGTTTGGCGTGCTTTTCTGTCTTGCATGGTGTTGATGTGTTGTGCGAGACCACATCCATCATGGAGTGGCACCCCAGGCCTCTATTGGGGTGCTCAGAAGGCAAACCAGACAGATCAAAGACAGTTTGACCACGGGGGGTCTTGCAGAAAGAGACAAGACTGCTATCAGAAACTGCCTGGGTCAGGCTGTGCAGGTCAGTCTTCACACAGCTGTTCAGAGACTCCGACTGCTTGACAACATACAGAGAGCTGCCTTTGGCTGTGTTGTCCAAGTCTAGGAGAAGCTCCCAGGTATTGGATTTTGAGGCACCGCTACAGTCCATATAACTGTGGACAGGAGAAGAATGGCTGTGGGTGGAGGCCCCTGTCACAAAGCCAGTTTCCAGGATTTCCTTTAGGGTCAGGATACTGGTATTGCTCCTCTTGGTGGACATGATGCAGTATCCCAGCAGTGTCAGGCTTATGAAGTTGAAGATGTCCCTGGTAGAATAAGTGTGCTAAAAAATAAATTTTAAAAATCCCGTTTCTCAGTTAGGAAAGTGAGGAGACAGGCAAGATCCAAGGAAAGTTTAGGCGTCCAAATTGTAGTTCGCTTCTAGTGTAACAGAGCTCCCTGTTTATTGGCAGTCAGGCCATGGCCTATTTACTGCTCAGAGGAGATCATTACTGTCTAAGTGACCTAAGAAGTGCTCCCCCAAACACTGCGGCATCCTTGCCAAGTTGAGGCAGAAGGGAGCATACCCACAATTGTACCTATTGTACCTTTTGGCCAGAGAGTCAGAGAAATCCTTGGATGTACTATTAGGCAGGGCTGTTTCCCATCTAGGGGAGGCCTGAAGGAACAGTCCTCCATTTGGTTAGATCAGCTCTCACAGCTGAGCTTCAGACACCGAATAGCATCACTTAATGTCTTCAGCCTGGATACCATTACTCTTAGTTTTGTCCTCTTGGGTGTAAGGAGTCTCAGTAAACCTCTCCACCTCCTAGTGGTACTAAGCTGGAGCAGGATGGGCCTTTTCCTGGAGATACCAGATATTCTGTTCTCATTCCTCAAACCAGGACAGCATTAATCTCAATTAGAGCTGAGTTGCTTCCCTTTCAGAGGGAGACCCTAATACTGGGTCCAGTATTACTGGTTAGGAGAAATGAGAGTTTGACAGGAAGGAGTAGCTCCCATGTTGTGTTTAGTCCTGTACATGGTACAGCCCCTGTCCACAGATCTGTGGGACCCCGTAGTCTAGACACGGGCCACCTGGGGAACTCTTAGTAGACAGGTCCTCTTGGCTGCTCTCATCTTGCTCTGAAACCGCACGACAGTATGTTTTGCTCAGTCACTAAGAGTTTCCTTCACGTTCCCCCTCCCCTTGTGAGGGAAGTTCTCACCACTTGGCCAGTCAGCAACTGCTTGTTGGCCAGACGGAGGAGGAATACATGAGAGCGAGATGGGGAAGGCGGCCAGTATCATTAAAAAAGCCACTTTATTTACTATAAAGGCAGAACTGTATAACTATGGGTCATTGTGAAGGAGAATTGTTCTTTAAGATACTGAAATACTTCATCCTTAAAGACATTTTAAATACATTAATACTTGAAAAATACTAAGAAAATAAAAAGCACCTACTTCTAAGAGCATAGGAAAAAAAAACACCTGACTACTTACCTTCACCTTCTACAGAGACCCCTTTCAAGATCCTGATCCTTTTTTGATCATGTTGCTGGTAGTATTTTTATAGTTTTGCTAATTAATTAACATGCTAATTTCCTAATTAAGCTAGTTTGGGAGAGGGAGGAGTTTTAGGTCAATGGTAGTGATTGGGGGATGTGATAAACCACGCGGAAAGTAAATCCTAAGGCCTGCAAAGACTTGCTTGAGTTTTTTAACTTTGAAGCACGTCAGCAAGCAGCCTTCAAGAGCAAACAGCGTGTTTGCAGCTAAGTTTGAGCAGGACTGAGACCCGTGTCTCCTGACTGCAGGAGAAGGACGCGTATAGCGTTCCCGCCTTGCGAGCCCTAGACGGAAAGCTGCTATGTTTAGTCTGAAATACCGACCAGGGAACGTTTGTGTGCACAGACCAAACGCTAGGAGTTAGAATGAAAACAGGGGCACGAGCAGGTATGCGTAGATACCTATGCGCAGCGTGCACTGCAAAAACAGCAGCAGTCCAAAATACGGTGGTGCCAATTCCTGGTGTGTTCAAGAACAGCTATAACTCGGGTAACTTCTTGTGCTTCTTTTTCAGGCCTGCTTTTTTTGTGTGCGTGGTATAACAGTGCCGCCCCCTGGCAAGAAGGGATAAGGAAAGGTAGAGTGAAGGTTTTCCAGGAGAGCCCCAGCTGCTGGGAGCGTGCCGACCCGTGCCCTCCGCTTGGGATCCTGCGCTGCCCCCCTGGAGCAGCGGCGCTGGAAAAGCAGCATGGGGAAGGTGTTTAATTCTGATTGGTTTTTTTCTGCCCTCTCGATGGGAGGTAGGTGCCGGGAAGGCGAAGGGAGCAGCGCCGGGCGGCAGGCTGCGGGGATGCTCGGTGGTCTGCGGCTAAGAGGCTGGACGCGGCCGCATCGCGGCCAGCGCAGATCCCCTCCTAGGGCCGCCTTGTCGGACTGCCTGTTAAGCGAAGCTGTGCCCTGAGGGGTTCAGGCCTCTCTTTTACACCCCAAAAGGCAAACCTGTGCCTGTATCTGTGTCCGAAAAGTGCTAGGTTTTGCAAGGATAGCCACGGCCCTCGGTGGGACCCCCCTGCCCCATGCGGGTGACCTGCGAGCGGCCCCTCGGCGAGGAGGGACGTGGGCAGCGGCGGCGGGTTAGAGCAGGGGCGCGGGGAGGCCCCTGCTGCGCCGAGGGGTCCTGGGGTGGCCACGCGGGGGCTGGTGGCAGAGAGGGCAGGAGATTTGTCTT